TTTGATTTAACCAGGTAGATCTCTCTTAAATTTAGATTTTTATGGGAGACTTTAAAAAGTGTCCCTTAAAAAAGGAGATTTTAAGGTCTAATTTTTTTTACCTATACATATTTATCCCACTCAGTTAATGTGATTTATTTATTTTTTATTATAAGTTTTATATCGTGATATATATCATTACCGCCACCCATCATAATGTATATCGTGATATGAATTTTTTGCCATATCGCACATTCCTACTGTATATCTTTTTGATGGGGGTGATGTTAAGCAGAGAATCATCTTTGCTTAAATTGGAGCAAACAAATGTTCTGTAAACAGTGAATCTCACAGAAAGACTCAAGGCTGGTTTATACTTCTTGTCGCACGTCTTTTACCTCCCACTGAGTGAAAAAAAGTTGCGCAACTTCTGTCTGCACTCCCCCTGCGGTCCCCCGGTGGCAGCTGTCCGATACATTGCTCCCAGTCAGCGCTCCGACTCGGAAGTTGCGCGTGTGATTGGTTCAAAGTTTGTGGGCGTTTTTGTTTGGTGTATCACTCCGCTACCCGGTACTCGCTTCCAGAGGCCGTTTTTTGTTTGTAAACATAGATAGTTTCGAAGAGAAACTCGCAGAGGTGGTCCGGAGGTACATACATCTATATGACTTCGCTACTGCGGAGTACAAGTAATGCCAAATGGCAAAAAAAAATTCATGGAGGGAGATTGCAGAAACGTTGCAAACAGAGGAGGCTGTCTGCCGCAAACGGTGGCGGACTCTCCGTGACCGGTTTACAAACACCAAATGGAGAATGCAGGTCTGGAGCGGGGATCCTGGCGGGACCAATCCAGTTCCTCCGTTATTTCTTTTTTTGCCTTTTTTTTCTTTTTTCTGGACACGTACATTAAACACCGGGGGACGACAACAAACATGACAACATCCAACACAACGGACTCACAAATCGAGGTAATAAAACACCCTCGCTAGCCTAATTTTTAGAGAAAATGAAGTGATTTATTACAGAAGCTTAAACATAAAATCACGCTTGTGTTGCTTGACGTATGCAGTGGGAGGGCAGAGGGAGGGATTACTAAAATGTATCCCCCACGTCTTCTCCAAGTATAAACACTCAATGCAGTCGGTGACACAAATGCAATTACATCATCGCTGGGCCACAGCCGCACATCTCGCATGAGGTATAAACAAACCTTCAGCCTGCGTGCGCAGTGACGCGCTCTCGTCACAGCAGTCTCTCATCAGGAGGAGAGTTTGTCACTTACACAGAGTTGGACAGATTTGTTCGATAACAACATTCTGAACATATTTTTAATATAAAGTTGGTTTTACAGACCAAAGTCTCTGGTAGTTCAGGAGGAAAGTGCAGGAGGAGATGTCAGGACTGACTGCTGCAGCCTCGGAAATCTCCGTGGGTGCCCGGGAATCTCAACCAAACCTGCTCTCACTGAAAGTCCCGCCCTACTCTGCTGTTGGATAAAACGGCTCTGGACTTCGTCTGATTTGTTGAAGGCAGTGTCTCAGTTTAATCTTTATATCAGGGTCCCGCTGTCCTAAGAGGCTTGGTGAGCACCGAACACGATCCAGTCACACCAGTGCGGCTGGATTTTTAAATTTTTTTAAAGAAATCGGGTCACATTTGCGACTAAACTGGTCAGACTCTAGAGCCCTGCGAGCTGTTGTTTTAACAATCTCAGGTACGCAAATGAGCTTCATGACATTCCATCTGGTGCGCTTTTTCTTTTTTTGACTGCGCATGCGCACCTGCGCACCACTTATGTGCGACTCTGAGCATAATGGCCTACAGAGGTTAAAAAATATCATCATAGTTAATACCAGATTATATTATCTGATATTATTTATTTATTTGTTAATTCTTTCATTTTAAATTGAGTCTTTACAGGAAGCAATAATCACTTAAATACTTAAAGGATTAGAGTTCCACAGGATTTGAGCTGTTGCTTGGATGTTTTTAATCAATTTATTAAACACAATCACTGATTTAAAGTTTCCCCTAAAATTGTATATTTGAAAATTAAGCCTTTGGGAAATATTTTAGCCAGTTCACTGAGGTGTTTAATTGTGTTAACATGAGGTGATTATTAGGGATAATTTAGGTATTCAGAATCATTTGTTCTGTATGATGTAGTGCTACAATAGGAGTCTTTCACAGTGTAGCTGTTCAAATTATTCAGACATTTGTTTTGTCAGACAAGGTGCAAAGTCCTTTTCCACTTCTTGATTAGACCACCTTTTTATCAGTATTTGTGTTAATATCTCAACAGGCTATTTTAGTTGATGCTGGGTGACAACAGTTTGTTTTAACTCTGCAATCTGGCTAGTAGTCATAGTTAAATTTGTTATGTCATGTTTTTAACGCTGTGTTGTCTCTCTTGCTGAGTTTTGTTTTCTTTCTTGAATTCTAAGATGTAGTTTCGTTCTCCTTGTTTTAGGTGTGCCAGCACGTTGTAATACACAAGTTCTGACAAAATACTGAATAACTAACATTTTTTATTACCAAACCTTCAACCATTTGTTTTCCAACACTCTTTACTCATTCTGGAAGTCAGAAATATTTCAGGCTTTGACAAATACAGATGATGTCAGCAGCAGAAATATGCAGACTACTTATGATTTATCCCCCTCCTTTGAWCATTTATGTCCATTGTTTGGTGATACTGCAAGTTATTTTACAATCAAACACAATTAATTTTTAGTCCATATCTAGTATAAGACTTTTCGATTATGTTTGAAACTACAGCAGATGCTATTAAAAAAGCAGTTTAGTTGTGAATAAAGAATAAATGTTTTTTTCTACCCTTTTGTGAGCATATAGACAAAGTTGTGATTTTTTTATCTATTATTGTTGTTATTATTATTATTATTATTATTATTATTATTATTATTATTATTATTATATTGTGTCATTTTCTATAACTTCATTAACAGATAACTTGTTTAATATCGCTGTGAATTAAATAATTAGAAGTTTGCATGTCAAACAAAGATGAACCCTTTGAAACCGTTTCAACATGTTCTTTACAGTATTCTAGGCATATATTTTTAATTAACAAATAAAACCTAAATAAAAGCAAACAAAAAAATAAAGAAATGTCACCTTCAATTGCAGAATCAGTCACTCGTTCATCTTCCTGCTAAAATGAAAGTTGTTTGTGTTTTCTGCTTGGTTTTGATGTCTGACTTCTGGAATGCGCCTTTGCATTTACAGCTGGAGTGAATTTAAATACCACAAAGTACTATAATCCTGTATGTGAGGCTTTGGCTATACAGAAAACACATTTCAGTAAGATAAAGTCATGGAAGAAGACTGCATGTTGTCTGCTGGAGATTTATGTGCGTCTCTGCTGAGCACGTGTGTTTTACTAACTACTCTTGTGAAGAATGGTGAGAGTTATCGATTGAATTCTCAGCACTGGCATCGGGTCAGCTGATGTCACTCCTGCTGCTTTGCAGTCAGAGACTGGCTTTAAAAAGGGAAACCAAATTGTTGTTGCCTTTCTGCTTTTCATGTGCTCTCTGTCACCCACAGCCATTTGAGGCCAGTGACCTGCTGCTAGGCCTGAACTTCTCCAAGGTGCTGAGCAGTCTGGTCGCCTTGAATAAAGTGACCGCAGGTTGGTTAAACTGTGTGTGACTGTTACTTAAGCATGCTGGCTTGTGTTTTTTTATTAAAGAAACTGAAGTAGTTACTAGTGCGTGGGTGTTGACTGGAGATACGGAGCGTGATTTATTTATATTCTGCTCTTTTCTTCTGTAGATATTGGCGTGGGCAGTGATTCAGTGTGCGCCCGACACTCTTCCGCCCACCGCATCAAGTCGTTTGAGTCACTGTCCACTCAGGCTTCACTGGGCCGATCCTCCAAGCTGCTGCAGAACCAGTTTCGAAGTTTGGTAAGTTTTACACACACCACTGGAAGCATGTATATTTAATACTTTAAAATATGTAATTAGCTAAGCTAATACACAGTCACAGTTGAGTCAAATCAAAGCTTCTGCCAAGTACAGTTGAAATCAGAGTTTTACATATACTGTATAAAAAGACACTCATTTTTTTTCATAATGTCTGATGTGAAATTAGAAAAAAGTTTTCCCAGTTTAGGTCAATTAGGATTACCAATTTTTTTTTATTTGCTGAATGCCAAAATAATGAGAGAGAGAGAAATTTTAAGGCAATTTTTATTACTTTCTTCAAAGTCAAAAATTTAAATATATTAAAGGAATTTTTCCATTGCTAAGTGCGGCTCCACTCAGTTCTCATCAGACCGGTTCTACCCGGGTGTAGGTGATTTGCCACTGTAAATTGTGTCCCCGCTCTGTGGGCAATATCTTCAATAAAAAATAGATGGCAACGTCATTTAAAAGTGGGTGGTATGATTAACATGGAGGCACAGAATCTGCCGCTTATTGTTGCTCATTGATATAAAACTGTAAATGATACTCATTCCCTGCTACAGCCTGCTTATAAATGCAGCAAAACAACACCAGAATGATTTTCTTATAAATGAACCTGCAGTTACTGCACACTTTAAAGCTATGATTGTGAATAAATGTTCTTACAGATTTAACTCAAAGAAAAACAAATAGATTGCTGATAGTATCAATTGCCCAAAACAAAAGTCAGACAAGATTAGGGATTGGTACCGCATTCGAAAGTTTTTTAAGTACAGACTGAATTCTGTTGGTACTACCAGGAACCTATTCACGTAACATCAAACGGTACCATGTTTCAGTACTTAAATGCATCATAACCCTATTGGCGTAAGAATGGGGGATTTTCCATGCTTGTCCTGAACGCAGCATAGCGCAAGAGCGTAATGACGTCAGCAGCCGCTGGTTCAATAAACAGAGTTAGGTCTGAAAATAGCTTCAAAGCCTCGCAGCTCCTGGAGTAAAACTCGCCAAACAGACCGCCTCTGAATTATCTGGTGGATTAGTTATCTGCCGAGCATGACTTTCGCTTGCTCAAAGTAAATAAAGTACCGCCACTTTCTTTATTTCATCCACCATTAAACAGAGACCGGCAGAGGAAAACAACAGAGGTGCTTCCTGACAGTCCGAACGCATCTGACCTGAAAGAGCAGAAGCAGCCAACTTGAAGCGTTGGGCACATTTTGGATGCTCAAAACGTAGTTTAAAGGCACAGTGTGTAGGAAGAAAGCTAACACAGCAGCCGGTACAAAGGTAGGTGTATGTGCGCGCGCGTTTGTGTTACATGAAATGTTTTTATGCGACTTTGTCATGAGTTTTATGCAAAAGTAAAAACTTGTTAGAGTGTATATTACAGCGTAGACTAAAGCTGAGTGACGAGCGCGCCCCCTCCTCCCCCCGAGTACAGAGAGCAGCAGAAACTCTGCCTGATAATTATTACGTTTTCAGTTCACTAACGTCGGGGAAAACGATCCAAACCAAACAAGTAGCCCATCAATTTAAAGCCCAGACTCTGTTCTTTCCAACAATATGTGTCACAGCTCTACGTGAAAAATTCACGGAACAAGCAGCCAAGGAATAGCGAAAAAGGCTAAATTCTGGAACCATAAACACGAACGTCTTTCCTTTGTTTTTATGGCTTTAATCCACTTTGGAGTGATTTTTTTCCACTTGGCTGAACCTGTACATCTCCTGTGTTAATGTTGGTACATGTAATATGCTAATTCTGTACTGTGGAGATAATTAAGAGTCGTCGGGTGAAAAAATCTTTCGCTAACACTGTGTTGACCGTGAACCGGAAGTGTTGGGAGTGGCATCAAGTGCTGGGCTGGATGTCCGTGGCATATAGGCTATTATAAGTAAGTACAAACAAGATGGGCATGTCCATCCATCATACCACTCAGGAAGGACACAGGTTCTGTGTCCCAGAGATGAATGTGCTTTGGTCCAAAATGTGAACCAAGAACCCAAGAACAAAAGCAAAAGACCTGGTGAAGATGGTGGCTGAAGCTGGTAAGAGTGTCATTATCCACAGTGAAACAAGTTCTGTATCGATATGGGCTGAAAGGCCACTCTGCCAGGAAGCAGTCATTACTTCAAAAGAAACATAAAAAAAGACAGATTAATGTTTGAAAATGCACACAGACAAAGACCTTAATTTAAATTTTTGGAGACATGGTCATGGGGTCTGTCGAAACTAAAATTTAACTGTTTGGCCATAACGACCATTGTTATATGTTTGAAGGAAAAAGGAAAAAGGGGAAAGCTTGCAAGCCTAAGAACACCATCCTGACTGTGAAACTCGGGGGTGACATTAAAAGTGACACAAAAAGTGTCATGGAGTGTCACACAAAAAGTGTTTTGGGGTTGTTTTGCTGTAGGAGGGACTTTTGCACTTCACAAAATAGATGACATCATGATGAAAGAACCTTATGTGGAAATACTGAAGCGACATCACAAAACATCAGCCAGGAAGTTAAAGCTTGGGTGCAAATGGGTCTTCCAAATGGACAAAGTATTTAAAATACTGACTGAAGAAAGTAAAAAAAAATCCCTTAGAAATTTTCTCTCATCATTCTCTTTCTGGTATTTAGCAAACAGAAAAAAAATTTGGTAATCCTAATTGACGTAGCCTGGTTAAAACCAGCCCCTTGTCCTTTATTTTGCTTCGTACGAGGGTCTGGACTCTCTGTTATAGAGAAGCGATTCTTGCTGGAGGCGTGGCCTCTGCTGAAGTTTAAAGTGATTGGATCGGTTGGCAGCAACGTATGTCGCTGTGAAGGAGGCTAAGCTAAGAAGCTAACCGGAAATCGTGAGCGCTGTAAACAACCCTACTGAGAGGAGAAAAGTACCGAGCCGAACGAGACGACTGCTTTGTCAGACAAATTTAATTTAATTTGGAAGCCTTATCAACACGGACTAGCTTCATTCACTTCCTCTACTGCCGTATGCTAAACTAACAGACACTGCTCAGAAAATCAACGTTGTTCAAAACTCCGCCTTCTGTTTGCTGATTGGCCCAGGTAAAATAAACTACAAGCAGACACTGCGCAGAAAATTGACGTCGTTCAAAACTCCGCCTTCTGTTTGCTGATTGGCCCAGGTAAAATAAACTACAAGCAGACACTGCACAGAAAATTGACGGTCTGTTCTCTGATTGGCCCGAATGAAATGCTCCCAAAGAAATCCTTGTCTATGGGAGAAATCCCAGATGGAGCAGTGAAGGGAAACTAGGATTGAGCGGAACTGCGTAGGAAGGCAAGGGCCAGGCTAGAATTAACCTAAAACGGGAAAAGTTTATTCTGATTTCATGTCAGACAGTGTGACAAGACTGCATGTGTCCTTTTAAATAGTGTATGTAAACTTCTGGTTTTAACTTTATAAATAAAAACACAGCTAATATGAGAAATACAAAGGTAATCACAGTGGAATTGAACCCAAAAGTTTGTTCTTTGTGTTATAACAAAAGTGATAACTATGAGGAGAAGTATTTGCTGTACAAGATTTGTCTCTTACTCTTTCGGCCACATCTTCTCGTCCTTCATCAGGACATGTCAGAAAACATCGGACAGCAGCTGCTGGTCAGGGCAAAATTCAACTTCCAGCAGACCAACGAAGATGAGCTCACCTTCAACAAGGGTGATATCATCGGCGTGACTCGTCAGGAGGAGGGCGGCTGGTGGGAAGGGACACTTAACGGCAAGACTGGGTGGTTTCCAAGCAACTATGTGCGTGAGGTCAAAGGCTCCGGTAGGTGCTACAAGTGCATGCAAGTAAATATGGGTCAACAATGCTCTAAAAATTACAGGCTCGAGTTATGATAGTTATCTAGTAATATTCTTTCGTACTTTTATCCTATTTTCAAAAGTGGACCAATTGAGCAGAGGTTTGTAGCTGTGCATCACAAAGAGCCAGTTAGGATGGTTTGAGCATCTGTAAGGGTGCCCTCCAAGCAGCTTCCAGGGGAGTCTCTTGGCAGACACCCGCACGCTCTTTCATTTAATGTAATTAAGTCTCCTCTCTGTGCACGGCTTCTCAAACATTGTTGTGAACAAATCAGTCAAATCAGTTATGCCAACTAGTACAGAACATCACAGCTGCTTTTGTTGTTGTTCCATTTGGCCATGTGACAGTAATGCACTGTGTATTTATTGCTGGGGGTTGGTATGTGCTGTTTTCATGCTCGCATAACAGTTACGAAGCCACGTGGTGTCACAGTCAGTTGATGGAGAGTAAAAAAAGATAAAAACAAAACTATTCAACGTGGTTATTCCTTGGAAATTAAAGGAAACTAAAGAGTTGTTTCTAATTCTCTGTTGAAAGCTTTCACTGCTGGTGTTGTCGGATCAAGCAAAAATTCCTGCCTTTTTGTTTGGTCTAGGGCAGGGGTCTGCAGCCTTTACAATCAAAAGAGCCGTTTAAGCTACTTGATGCACTAATAAAATGTGTTCAGAGCCACAAAGCAAGCTACAACTGCAATTATCAACTGGTGGTCCGTGGGCCTTTTTGAGCCCTTTTCTAGAACCTTTACAGCCAGTGGAGGTGACATTATAAAACAAATAAATATACTGTGAATTTTATTATTTATTTTTTTACACATCAGGACAAATGAAAGACCATATTCATGCAAACAAGAAAATACTGTGTATAGTTTATACCGAATTTCATAAAAACTAGTACAGCTGAACTATTCAGGCATATTTTTTACTAACTCTTCTTATTATGTAGTCTAAATTCTTTAAAGGTAATTCTGATGGATTTGAGAAAAAGTCATAGCAAGAAGTTAGATTTTTAAAGTAAACAGGTTAGCATGAGCTAATCAACAGGTTTTACTTTTTGTATTAGTAGTATTGATCGCATATTTGCATACAAATTGATTTCTTTTGTAGCTATAAAAACAAACATAAAAAATGATTCTGTTATGTTTTCAAAGCGTCGCTGCAGAGGGACCAAAGAGCCACATGTGGCCCCAGAGCCGCAGGTTGCAGACCCCTTGTCTAAGGTGTTTTTTAAATCTTTTAAAGGAATTTATAGAATGCATTCCAGGAGAGTTGCAAAATGCATTCCAGGAGAGTTGCAAAGGGTAAAAATAATTTAAATGAAGAGATGTGGCTTTGAACTGGAAGCAGTACATTTGACTTAATCATAAGTGTCTGCATAAACTACACATCTGCATAAACTGAAGGTTCATTGCTGAAACAGCAATAAAGAGTCTCTGGAACGATGAACATGAATACTGGCTCTACTGCCTGCTACTTCTTTCTCAACATTCTTTGCTGTCTTTATTATTATTGACTAAAGTAAGAAAACAATTTTGTAGAAATCTAATTTAAAACTATTCGGGTTAGCCCATTCAGTAACTGAATGGGCTAACCTGAATACACTATATCCTAAACCTGGGTCTGAACACTTTGTTTTTATGGACTGGGTTTGTCTGGATTACACTTTCAACTCTGCTTTATTTATCTTCCACCTACAATTCCCCCTAACCTAGCTACATCTGATTTAACTGTCAAAAATACATCCATGAATTACATGAATACACAACTATGACACAAAACCAATATGATTGTTCTGGTCATCATGACCTGTCAGTTTCTTCATCTGCCTCTTTACTTGAGTGCCAGAAACAGTCAGGGTGAGTGGGAGGCAGAGGGGATCTCGGTGAGATCTATAACGGAGATACAGGTTGAGCTGTGGATGACTGGAGGCAGGTGGGAAAGAGTTTGCTGAAGGAAAAAAAATATTTGAAGTAGATTATCGACAGCACAAACGTGTTATACATGACACTTTTGAGTTATGTGTATTGCCAGAAAAAGCAGACCTCCAGCTAACTAATATTGTAGGATGTGATCAGATTGTCAACTGGTAAAGTAGTTTATTAGATGCATAGAAAAGAATATTGATGCAGAATGTAAACACTGTTAGTGTTAGTGCCAGAGAGACAAAATGAAATAATTGAGACATTTCTTTTAAACAAGGGATTGGGTTTTTGTGGTACATACCAAGAAAACAGGTTTGCTCCTGTCAAACTCAACCTTCGTGTATTGGTTGGCTCTGTTGAGCTTTAATGCATTTGCTGCCTCTTATCGACTGGAGGATGGACAAGCAACAAAAACAAACTAAATACAAAATGATCAAATTTATACTGTCATGAAATTTACTATGTGGTTCAAGTTTGAAAAATGTGAATCATGTTCAAAGGCATAAAAAGACTGCCTGTAAGTTTCATCTTTTACTTTCAGGTTCAGAGTGGTTCAAGTAGATTTGTGCATCCTCATTTATTTGCTTTTTTTTTTTTTTTTTGGCAACAGACAAACAAGTGTCCCCCAAGTCTGGCACCCTCATGAGCCCACCTAAAGGCTTTGATACTTCTGTAATCAGCAAGACATACTATAATCTGGTAAGAAGTCAACACCACATATTTTTACAACATTTCAGTTTTATTTTCTCTCAAATTGAATTTGTCTCCATCAACATCATGCTGATGTCTGTTGGCTTTCATTGATGTCTGTTTTTTTTTCCGTCTGCACCTGTTTTTCTGGTTTTCCATTTGTTAATCGTGTCCTCTGGGAGAGTCTGCCTCCTCAAAAATGTGATCAAAGTGGCATGATGTCAACGTGTGCAAGAAGGGAATATTTTTCTATCACTCACAGAGCAGTTGGTGCATCGTTTATGCTTTTTATTTGTTTAAAATGTGTTTCTGAATGTGCCGATTTGCTGTCATGTACAACAGCTTTTATCAATTTTATCTTGTAAGTAGTTCATTTTTTTTCTTTCTTTTTTGGAGTAGTTGGAAAACCACACCTTAAGTGTTTCCTCTTTTTTATGGGATAAATCTTGTGCCAGCAGGAATTGAATTTGAATTGCTCAGATTCAATCTGAATGTGCATAATTTGAAATTGAATGCATTGGTTTGCAAATGAATTTTACTAAAGTGAAACTGAATTTAATGATTTGAAACTGAATTTAAAGTTTTGAATTTGAATTAATTTGCTTTGGAACTGTATTTTGGTTTATTAAAAATTCAGTTTGACTGCTTTCATTTTCAGTTTCATAATTCAATTTCAGTTCCAAAATTCAGATTTTTCTGTCACACATCCTGGTCCTTGAGAAAGCCAGGCAGAGTAATCAAACACAGATTTAGGTTTCACTTTGATGAAGCTTCCCTTCTGTAATGTAACAGAGTTGATGCAATCCACCGTAAAAGTGACAAAAACAGACAAATTTATTGCAGTGATTAGTTTTACCTTTAGAAAATGTTACATTTACATCCCGTCATGGATCAGTCAGCAGCAGCATCTGATCAATATGTGATCCATGATGTGATGTAAATGTAGCATTTTCTATAGGTAAAATTAATTACTGCAATAAAATAAATTTGTCTGTTTTTGTCACTTTTACGGTGGATTGCATCAACTCTGTTACATTACAGAAGGGAAACTTCACCAAAGTGAAACATAAATCTGTGGATCTGTGTTTGATTACTCTGGCTGGCTTTCTCAAGGACCAGGATGTGTGACACAAAAATCTGAATTATGGAACTGAACGTGAAAGTAGTCAAACTTAATTTTTAATAAACCAAAATACAGTTTCAAAGCAAATTAATTCAAATTCTAAACTTTAAATTCAGTTTCAAATCATTAAATGCAGTTTCAATTTAGTAAAATTAATTTTCAAACCAATGCATTCAATTTCAAATTATGCACATTCAGATTCAATCTGAGCAATTCAAATTCCATTTCTGCTGGCACAAGATTTATCCCATACTTTTTAATCAAACAGTTATTTCTCAAATCCTATAAAATGCTGGTTAATCAAAGTTTTTCTTTTACCCTTTTTGTTGTAGGTGTTACAGAACATTTTAGAAACTGAGACAGAATTTTCCAAAGACCTTCAGAGCCTCCTTACAAACTACCTGCGACCTCTTCAGAGCATTGACAAGTAGGACTGTTTTCTTTGTTGTCCAACATTAATCTGTACCGTCACAATTTTTACAGTGTGGCTTGTTTTTAGATGACAATAAAAATAATCTTCTCTGACATTTCTGCACAAACCTTTTCTCCTGCAGACTCAGCAGCTCAGACGTGGCCCTGATTCTGGGAAACCTGGAAGAAATCAGCACTTTTCAGCAGATGTTGGTCCAATCTTTGGAGGACTGCACCAAGTTAGTCCCTCCCAGCAAAACACAAATGTTTTGTAATTAGCAGAGTGACATCTAGTGTTGGACTGCATGTAATGCAAGATGTTGGATTAAATTGTAAACTGCAGAAATTACAGCATTTTGGTTTCAGATTGCATTAAAATCATTTTATGTTCTCATTCATCATATTTGTGTCTGTTTCCAGTGTAGTTCACAGCTGATCATATTGTTTTCTTTGTAGGCTTCCAGAAAGCCAGCAAAGAGTTGGCAACTTCTTCCTGAACCTGATGCCTCAGATGAAGGCTCTTTATGTTGGTTACTGCTCCAACCATCCCTCTGCTGTGAATGTGCTCACCCAACACACGTATGTTTACTTCAGATGGAGTTTTCACTTTGCAACCTGATTTCATTTTTGCATAGCCAGTGTACATGCTACACCAGTCACAGGGAGACGAGAGGATTTTCTTACATAAATTATTAATGACAGCAAACAAACCAGCTGTTTGGAATGGATTAAATCGGATTGTTCTATAGGTTTAATGAAAAGAAAAGCATCTGGTTTAATGTGATGATAGAGTGAAGTCAATATTTTGAAAATACATGTTTAGGAATACGTTAATTGATACCATATTGAGATGATGGAAACCTTGAAATCTGTTAAAAATACTTTGATTTGATTTTGGGGAGGATTGTTGATACTCAAGTCTTGCAATGTGTTGATTGGACCCCAATATTGCAAGATATATAAAACTGTTGGTCTTTGCAGTTTGATGATTTTTTTTACCATCAATTTCAGTGAAGTTTTGGGGGAGTTTATGGAGGCGCATGGTGCAGTTAGTCCTGGGATCCTCATCCTGACCACAGGCCTCAGTAAACCATTTATGAGACTGGACAAATACCCCACCCTACTCAAGGAGCTGGAGAGACACATGGAGGTGTGTTTGGGCTTCAACATTTGCTCAGAACGCTTTGGTTGATCTGTGTGTTTTTAATAAACATGTTTTCACTCTTTTAGGAGAGTCATCCTGATCGGCCAGACATTCAGAAGTGCATGGTGGCTTTTAGAAGTCTGTCTGTAAGTTTAACACATTTCCTCGGCTGAGTAACCAAACTTTAAATAACATGGGATGTGTTAAAACAAGTTTAAAGCAATTCCCTGCTTCCATCTTGGTAGGCTCAGTGCCAGGAGGTACGGAAACGAAAAGAGCTGGAGCTGCAGATTCTCACTGAGAACATCCGTCTATGGGAGGGGGATGACATCAAAACCCTGGGTTGTGTGATCTACATGAGCCAGGTCCTAGTCCAGAGTCCCATGTCAGAGGTATCCACACCATCGACCTTCTTAAAGACTCGTCACACTGAAACAGTTTAAACCTCTTATACTGACTTGTGAACATTTCATTTCAATTTGTAAATTATCATTTAATTTGGAACCTTTGTGGTCAAACTAAGGATAAAAAAAACTATTCAGACCCACATTTTAGTTTCGAATCCATGATGCTGAAACACTAAGGAGTAAAACTGTAGAAACTTTTAAATAAAAGGAAAGTAATGTACTTGACTATTAATAAAATATTTAACTTTGAAGCTGTTTAATGCATTATAAAGTCATGAAATTACAAAATGAAGGACTTCATTCAGAAACATCAGCACTTTATCAGCCTTGCTCAGGTTAATAGTCCACATTATTGATACACAGTCAAGATTATGCCTCATTTTTTTTTTCACTTTTAATTGGCCAGGAGAAGAACGAGCGTTACCTGATGCTTTTCCCTCACATCCTCCTCATGCTGTCTGCCAGTCCCAGGATGAGTGGCTTCATATTTCAGGCAAGTCATCCTTGATATCTTCTTAGAGAGATTTGATTTTAAAAACCTTTTTTCAGGCCTAGTCATTACATCATTGTGAATGAAAGTGTGTAAATAGTTTGCTTTGAGATAATTATAATCATTTCTCATTGCAGGGAAAGCTGCCCTTGGCTGGCATGTCAGTGACCAAACTTGAAGACTGTGAAGCCCATAAAAATGCCTTTGAGCTCAGTGGTAAGACTTCATGACATAAGCAGCTTGTTAAATATTTCATGGGCGGAGTGAGTCTTAAGCTACGCTATTTCTGTCCACACAGGAACAATGTTTGACCGTCTTCAGGTGATGTGCTCGAACCAGCAGGACCTGCAGGACTGGGTGGAACACCTGACGAGACAGATCAAACACACTGCTGCCACAGCCCCCAGCCACAAACCACTCACTGTYCCCTGCCACACGGTCAGGAGCTCACACTCAAACACGGATTCTCTTACTGCTCATTTACACCACATGTAGAGTGGACTCTGAGTAAACATGTTGATTTCACACTGTCTGCYATCAGAAAAATCAATACACTGAGATGTTGTCTTACACAATCTGTATCAATCATCTTTAGTGACTGCAGCTCAGTGTGAAGTGGGCTGTTCATCTCATTAGAATGGCTGTAAGACTAAGTTACACTTAAATAAATAGAAATGCAYAACAATTAGCTTTATTGGCAGCTTGCATTAGATTGGAATTAACACAGCGATAATGCATTTGTAATTTGCAAGATGCCAAGCAGTAACTTGCTTTAATACAGTATATGGGACTTWACAAAACAGTATGCAGCTTTTCTCCTAGCATCATCCAAGAGGGTGCCCACCTCCCAATGGCACCACCTGCCCCCCTCATGAAGGTTTTAAATTAATTGTATGAGTATGTTCATAAGTTACCAACTCGGTGTGTCTGAGGGAAACGGCAAAGCACGGGTATCATCATCCAACCCATGCACCATCGTCCCTGGGACTTTTGGKATTTGGACAGCATGGTTGGAATAAACGGCTAAGCTATAAAGGCTTTTTTTGGTCTTATTTTGTTAATTGAAGATTTATTGGCAATATACTGATTTAAACCATTATTTGATTAGTATTGTTGAATTTAATGTTATATTTGGAAATGGGGGCAGATATTTGTTTTTGTTTAAATGAAATGAAATGAATAAACTAAAGTAAACTAAACTAAATATTTTCCATTAGGCACCATTAGTTCAACTACTGTTGATGGGCAACATATTTGCTCATGTGACTTAGAGTTTTGTTTTATTTATTTATTTATTTTTGATCTAGCAAATTTCATTTTCCATGCAGCTTAGAAGGCCAGCTGTTTGTGGCCAAAACAAAGACACTTTTAAACCAGGGGTTACTAAAATCTACTGACTAGAAATAAATCAAATAATTTCTGTGCTGAAATGAAATGCTACAGTCAAATTTATCACTTGAGACCATACACTTGGTTATCTTCTAACATGTCCTTATTGTCCCAACGAGGGATCTTTTTGAAAGATAAAACATGTAGGAAAAAATGTCCTTAAGCAACTTTTCTACCTGATGAACTGCAATGGGTCGTGGAGCGAAAGTTTACATAGGAGGAGAGGAGGAAAACTGTCACTACAATTATTATTAGTTCAATTAGAAACCTTAACTGGCCATGGTGTCATTGTTTTGGATGAAACCCTAGTGCAAAAATATCAACAAGCAATGAGTGAGAAAATGGGGATCTAAACCCATAAAGCCTCTCCGTCTGCTGTGCGTCATGATACACAGCTAGATTCAGGGACTAGAGCGCCACAAGATACCGGAGGAAGCTTTAACYGATAACAATATAGTTAAAACATGTATATTTGTTAATTTCTTCAGTGAGTCTGTTTATCAGCTGATATTTGATTGTGAAATACCCATCATGATGCATCCGTGATTAATAACATGACGAACTCTGTGCCACARTGAGACTTCAAAAAGTGTTTTTATTCAATGTATTTTAGTTTATATTATTGTATCTTTTTTGCTTTAAAATGTRATGATTTTGGTTCAGAGCATCTGCGGGTCATTAAAAGGCATTAAAAGTCATAGAATGTATTAATCTAAAATCTAGAATAAAATCTAAAGTATTTTCCTTTTTTAATGTTTTTTTATGATAAAAATCCTTTTTTTTTTTAGGAGAGAACGAGTAAACCTGTTCATTGTGCAATAAAGAGGTTTTATTATTCTGTCTTCTCAGCTCCCATCCCACCCTCTCACCCCGTCTCGGCATGCCGAGGGGAGGTCCATGACGGTGGCCCCCACCTACCATACCCTGCCACACCCGTCCTCCCACGGCATGACCCACAGCACCATGATGTGGGGCCCTCTGGAACCACCCAACACCCCCAAACCCTGGAGCCTGAGCTGCCTACGACCTGCACCCCCTCTGCGGCCGTCCGCTGCTCTCTGCTACAAAGAGGTGAAAGATTTTGCATTTCTGCATTTTGTTTCAGTGTGTTTTGTTATATATTTTTTCATTCTGTTTCTGTTTTGTCCTCCACATGCAGGATCTTAGTAAAAGTCCTAAGAGTGTGAAGAAACTCCTTCCTAAACGCAAACCTGAGAGGAAACAGTCTGAGGAGGAATTTGCCTTGAGGAAGAGTGGGTTTAAAGTATTTCTTTCTTTTTAGCATTAAATGGGCCAATATATCAACTGTATTATCTGCTGGCTTTATGCATTTTGACTTTATGTGCTAGTCATATGCATCTACAGTTTACACCGCTTGGATTTTAATCTTCTCTGACCACCCAAAGGTGTGAAGATGAACATTTATTGTGGATTCACACCGAATGCGTTTTGAGCTGCAGGGGTGGCCAGTTTACATACACGCGCCTCTAGGGGTTGTGCGTTGCGYCACATCCATTTTGCATGGCGCGCAAGGAACGCGGAAAGGATGGCAGAGCATTTTCCGCGCTTGTGGTGCTGCGGAAGAAGCTGCTGCCAGAGTTAAAAAATCTGAACTTTTCGCCACTCGACATGTCTTGACAACCAATCAGAGAGACCCATTTTTCCATGTGACAGTTTCCTGAATGTTGCCCACTAAACCGAAACAGACGGAAAGGAGCTCTTTAGCTGAAATCGACCGACTGCAGTTGGATTTTCTGGCAGGATATGTCAGTACCGATGTGGGTCAGCTGCTCAGGACAAAAAACAAAAAGAAAAAGTCCGTGAGCTCGCAGCTTCTGGAGTGGCGGAACCAACCGAACAAACTGCCTCTAAATCATCTGGTGAATTAATTATCTGGTGTGTGCAACGTTCGCTTGCTCTTTAGTAAATAAATCAAAGCCATTTTGTTTATTTTACCATTATTTCATCTGCCGAGAGACAGACCGGAAAAAACCAAGACGCTCCTCCCTCTTCAGATGCGTCTGGTCTGTGTCCCGGTCTGAACATAGTGCATCCAGCTGGAGGCGTTGTGTACTTTTTTGCTGCTCAAAAAGCATTCAGTGTGAATGTAGCATCAGACTTAACACTGTTAGACACACCTTGGCTTGATTTAAGTGCACCTCAGGGCATTATAGTAAGACTCAGTGTTGACAGCATGACTGGTGAATTAATGAACTGTTCATAACCTTGTAAAAGCCCAGAGAATGACTTGGCAGAACCTAAGCGAGCAGTATATTATGCTTTAAAAAACTATTTTTGTTTTCTTTTTATGAACACAAGGTCTCTTTTTTGACAATATTTTGGACACACTTTAAAACTGAAAATCAAAGTCCTAGCTTTAAAAACATGGTCCTACTGATTCTAGATTTTTAGCTGCTCAATAGTAAAGTATTGTCTGACATATTTTAATTCCAAATTTTTCCTAAAGTGTGTAAAGTCGTGTTGTAATGTGTGAATGAGTCAAAACCTTTTTTTAAAAAATGATGTCCTGATGGTATCATGACATCCTTTTAAAAATTATAGAATTAAATAGTGAGCTGTGTGCACAAATAAACACACATATTGTCTTTGTGAACTAGATGCTGTTACCAAGATTTTTTTTGTTAAGCTCAGTACAGTTAAATTGCTCAATGGGAAACAATGATTTATATAAAAGAACAAGTATTATTATCATTTACCTTTCAAACTTGTTTTTGTTGCATTGAATCATATATTTAAAATTGTACATTTCTTTCAAATCTATTTTTAATTTACGTAAAAAATAAGAAACTTTTTTTTTTTCAAAAGTTTTTTTGTGTTTGCTCGAGTGCTCAAAGGGACCACCAGGTGAATAGTTCTGCCAATTCAAGAAATGAAATGTTGGATAAAGCTCACTTTTTTTTTATTTCACCTACGTTTATTTTAAATGACCTAGGGTTCTAGTAAGTCTGGAGCTTTTTGACTTTAGTTGTGACAGTTTTTATTGGATTCACTCGCATTGTTTTCTTAAATACTTCTTTAAATTTAGTCATATTTGACTGCCCAAAAATCATTCTGTAATATTTTTACGTATTTTCCTTGCATGCAGAGAGTGATAAATTGAATATCCTTTTCTCGCTCAGGTACAGCTGCTCTGGAAGAAGATGCTCAGATCCTGAAAGTTATTGAAGCGTACTGCACCAGTGCTAAAACCAGGCAGACTCTGAACTCCAGTAAGAACATTTAAAAATGTGTTTGTGTATAAAAAGAAAAGCAGGTGTACTCATGTTTGCTCTATTTGATGTAACAGTATCTGTATTCTGCACTTAATGTCTTTCTTTAACTTTGGTGTTCTGAACTGATCTTTCTAACAGTTTCTTCTCTTTCTGTCTCTTTTCCATTTCTCACTTTTTGGTATTTTTCTAATTAACCTTGAGTTTGTTTTTCTTTTGGTGTTTKTTTCCTAACCCCTTTATGATTTCATTCATCCTCTCATTCTGCATCCATCATTGCTTTTATGATTTACCATTTGTTGCGTGCCCCAAACCACCCTGTATCGTCACCCCYTCCTCGACCCCCTCCCCCTACGTTTGCATCACCATCGTCATTTTGGCCCGGTCCAACCAGCCTGGCAGGGCACTGACCTGATGCACAACCACGTGCTCGCTGACGTGGACCAGTCGTGCGTGGACTCGTCGGGCCGCCGTAGCAGCGTGTCCCGGCCAGAACTGAGCTCGGACCTGTCGGAGGACTCTGACTATGACTCCATCTGGACCACCCACAGTTACAGAATGGGATCAGTGCCGCGCAAGAGCTGCATCTCCCATCAGAACTAAAGACCGTGCAGCGCCGCCATGCTGTACTTTAATGTAATGTAGAGTGCGCTTACCTGTTTGGATTTAGATGTGTTAAAGGAGTAGAGTTTTTTTTAATTTATCTATTTATTTTTTATTATATTTGTTGATATTTTTTGTTTAATTTATTTAATTTATTTTCGACTTCTTGTTTGAAAATGTTTTAAGCATTTTCCTGTTGCCTTTGCCACATTTCCCTTTTATGTGCCTCCTCTCTTTCTGTAGTTGTCATGCAGTAAGTGTTAGCTAATTATTGTTAATTTATCATGAATGTGGCCACTCTCCTTGTTTGACCATGTGGTGGACTCGAGTGGAAAGAACAAGGATTTTAGAGTGGAGTGAAGGGGAGGGATAGATGTGGACTGTTTTTTTCCTGTCTGATATTCAGATAAAACTCATGTTCAACTGACCTAATTTATTTTAGTGTATGTTTTTTAGACTACGTACACTCAAACAAAGCACAGATGCTACACAAGCATGCACATGCAGGTTCAGGCACGTGCTCCTGCTGTCTGGGTAATAAAGCAGCATCCAATCCAAATTTTCAATATTTTATATCATCGCTGTTGCATAATTTCATGTTTTACTCATGTRATGTAAAAGGAAGATAAAATGTAAAATATATAGGCAGCTGGTGGGGAAAAAAGCCCTTGTAATGTTTAATAGCATATAAAGTTGTTTGTTCAAGTCTTGCTGTCAGTCGTTAAGAAAAATGAAATGACAGGTTTTTTAGTTCAACAGGATTAGAATAATTATATCAAACATGTAAAATAAAAGGTGTAATGTAATATAAAACAAGATTTATGCAACGTTCACACAGATTTTGTTTTACTTGTCACTGAAAATACAACTCCAGTGTGTTTTCAGGTCTCATTTACAAAATCCAGCAGTCTCTCTACAAGCATACACTTCTTATGTTTAATCAGCAGTAATGAATTCACTTCATGTTTCAGCTCAGCATTTTTCAGATCTACATAGACCAATATGTTACAGGGTCATATTTATGCTGTTTGAAATCTCAAGCTGTTAAAGTACACTTAAACCAAAGCAGGAAAAATGTATAAATCTGACTCAAATTAACTTTAGATTGCAACTAAATCAGTTGTAAACATGTAATACAGGTTGATTGTCTTTATTTTTTTTAATATTAAACAGCATATTAAGGGTGTAACGGTACACATAAGTCACTAGTTGGTACTTCAGTAAGATGGTAACTTTTTGTACAATAGGAAAAAGGAAAAGAGTGCTAAATTTTAGGGGTATTCTTTTTGTTTGTTTGCTTTAATTTTAGACAATAATCCTCCAAGAAGCACATGCAGAAAAACAAAACACTCTTGTTAGTGAGGAGGCTCCAAGATAGCAGGTCATGTACCAGTAGTCAATCTTAGAGTGGGATTTGTCAACTGGTAACCTCAACTTGAAATGAAATTAGTAATATTGTAGCTGCTCTCTTATTTGGTTCAGTTTGTATGCAGACCCTTTTTTGTGCTCATGCTTAAGTTTGCAAAGCCTGTAATGCTTTCTATGTGAAGAGGCTGTGGAGCACTTCCTCCTCTGCTTTTCTGCATTTAGCAAAAAACAAACAAAAAAAAAAAAACACCCTTCAAAATAAGAGCAGGAAACACCTGTGACAACACATAATTTTTCTGGTTCTTTGTACCAATGCCAAATACCTGTATTGTGATGATTTGCTACAAATACATGTACATGAATTTATTATTATTATTATTGGTTCCTTCACCTGTACTGTGAAAGCTAATATGGACTGGTTTCAAATCCAAAACCCCCATTTACTCCCATCTGTTGGGAGTGGAGTTCCATGTAGCTAATATGTAATTTGATTAATTTTAGTAAAATATTGGCTTGGAGACTGTACACTTTTTAACCTTCTCAGGAAAGACAGGCCAGAGAGGGTTTGATCACCATTAACTCAAATGAATAATTACAGGTTCATTAATTAAACTGATCTGAATAACTAACAGAAACAGTTTAGGCATTTGTCTGGATCTCATTAATAAACTGAGTGAACTGTTTGCAACTAATGTTTGTTTTCTATGTAGTTTTACACAACTTACAACTTTCTGCAAGAAATAAAAGATCCATACAGTTGTATTTAGCTGACACAAAATTAGCAGAAACATTTGTTTTGCCACAAATTAGCATTTGTGCTAATGTCCCATTAGCTACAACTTGCCTTTGCTAGCTTGTGAGGTTTCCCTATTTTATTTCTTGTATTAATACCTATTTTTATGAAGAAGTATTTTTCCAGTAATGGTATGAAAAGTACAAGCTAACATCCTCTTACGGCGAGCAAAGTGAATGATAGATAAAATATTTATTGGTCCATTGTTACAGTTCACTTGTTTTGGAAAGTGTATCTTTTTTGTATTTATCATTTTTGTATACAGGTGATATTTTTTGTATTTTTAATTTAAATTCTGTTTGTCAATGTTTACAAGCTGATCCCTGGAAGAATATCTTCTTTTTTCTTTTCTTTCTTTCTTTTTTTTTACATTCAGTTTGTCTGTATCTGAGTTTATATTAGGTTCTGAAATGTGTTTTAAATAATTTGCACAATCATGTAACGGGCCAGTGGGATAGGGTTTGGGCATGGACTCTGTGATATTCTGTTATTTTCAGTGTCTACCAAGAGTCCGTCTGATATATTCCAAAAGGTAGACTTCAGTATTCAGTGTAATTGTAAAGTGAATGCTCATTTGTAGTGTAAACGCTCACCTTCAGTGTTTTTATTAGCGTTGAAGGTAAAAAAAAAACGAAACAAGTCTGACATAATGAAGAAATTCTTCAATGTGAACTCTTTATTCAACTTTGAAATATTATTCAAGTTCATTTGAAACAAAAAAGAGCACATAAGTCTCCCTTTCTGTAAATAATAGTTGTCTTAAAGCCAGATTTAAAAAAATCTACCTTCTACAAGTATTTGAGCTAAGAATATCACTGTCCTTCTATCATGTGCTAAACTTTGTGACAGGTGTATTCTGTGATTTAACAAACTCTGGAACAGACAGGGTGATAAAAAACAAAGCTAGCTCTTACCAACATTGTCCTCTGTGTGCTCTAATGTTGCGTTTAAGTCACACATTTGACTGTCTTATTGCAGCCAGCGCCTTCAGTGTATTTCTTCTACACTGCTGCAGTGTTAAAGTCCCAAACGCTGTATCGTGACTTTAATAAATAGATCCGTTGATAGATACTGACTTTCCTGTGTTTTGTTCCAATCTGAATATGTTTGATTTAAGCGTTTCCCCAATAAATTCACAAGGACTGAGTTGCCTTTCTGAATAATGCATGAATATATTGTTGCGGTGATGGATATTTTTCACAGCTTTATATTTCTTGTTGCTGTTTCTTCATTCTTGTTTTTGTGTTTTTACTAACACGCTGCTATTGTCATTTTGTTAACGTTTTGATATTGTCCAACAATGTCCAGAATGACTGGTCTGGAAAATGAATTTACTGATGATAAAGTGATCGTTCAGATCTCTTGAAGTGGGGTTCTGTGGAGAAGTTTTGAGCAATGAGTATATTACATGCTGCAGATAACTCTCTGAAATACCCTAATTTGGAAAAAAAAAAAAGGTTTAATTCTAACTGGACCATATACTAAAAGTGACTCTGAATAAAGCTTAGACCAAAGAAGATTTCTTTCTTTTGTAAACTAATAAAATCTTTAAAATGTTACAGTTGTTCAAGCCAACGCTGCTTATAAACTTTTGCACCGGCATCACTTTTGCTTTACTTTTTTAATACGAGTAGCAGCTGGTCGGAATGAAACTCACTCCAAATTTTCTACGACAGGTAAAATGGTAATTGTGCAAACCTTTTCACAGAACCCAACTTCAAATAGTCTGAACTCTTGCTTTACTTGACTCAGTGCACTTTAAGGTAAGACGGTGAGTAGCAGTGGTGGTTTGCTTTGTTTTGTGGCAGGAAGGGAAACAGGGCTTCACATGATCATCCCTGAGGACAAAGTTCTTGTGGACGATCCAAGTCGCAATGGGCAGAGTGCTCTGGAAGAAAAGTAAGATAACATTTTCAGTTGTGTATCAGACTTCTCTGCCCTTCATAGTCACTGTGTTTATGTTCAATAAATCTAATTGAAAGACTTAAACTAGCAATGCACACATTTCCCCCCTGTGATTTTTGTGGATAAGACTGATATATTTTTAAACATTAAATTRCACCTTGACGCCTTTAAATTATATATGTTTGGGGTACTAATCAAATATTTATAGAAGTAACTCCATTTGAGAGCATTGTAACAAACAGTAAGTGATAATTGGCTTTAGGTATAGATGCTTTGTTTGTTCTTTGTATTTCTTTGTTTATATTCAATATTTGCTTCATTTCTGCATGACGATTTATGAAAAGAGACTTGAGATTTAAGTGTGAATTTTGCTTTGGTAAAGGAGCCTGGTTGATGTGGTATATGCGCTACGGGATGAAATTCAAGAGCTGAAACAGGTGAGTTCAAGTGTTCCATGATGAATCAGGTTATGTATTGCTCATAAAGGCATGAACTGATCTGGAAATGGTTGAAAACATGAAAAACACAACGGTTAATTGAACCATAAACGGTTGATGCAGGATCATTTAATCTTTTCATGACTTGATTAATATTTATTTTTACCCCTCAGGATAATAAGAAGATGAAGCGGTCGCTGGAGGAGGAGCAGAGAGCGCGGAAAGACTTGGAGAAAGTTGTGAAGCGAGTGTTGAAGAGTATTAATGATCCAGCGTGGGATGAGACAAACCTGTGAGACTTTTTGTTCTCACCCATCTGTTGCCTTGAGAAAGAGCATGAATATGACACATGGACCATTTTAAGTGCACACTTGGGTGAAAAGCGGAAATCTTATTATGGAAATGAAAGCAGTGCTGGATCTATAAGCTGTTAACTTGTTTGCTCCAAGACGAGTGTCATTGCCGGCACTCTGCTTAATGAACACGCCTCAGAGATGAGACCAGTCATTCCACATTAACATTCCTTCATCACCAGTTGGACTGGTTCACATGTTAACACTCATCCTCAGTGGCTGTATTCAGGACGGATGCAACTGGAAGATTTTATTTTTTGTTTACTGTCCAGCGGTACATAAATGGTACTCTTCTAGTGTTAAGGTCACAAAGTTTCCTAAAGTTTGAACTTGAACCACACTCTTCCTTAACATCTCTAATCTTATTAAATCATTCTTTTAAATAAACTTTTGCAGGGATTTTTCTTAAACACAGGTTTAGTCTGATAGTTTTTTAAGCCTTGTAAGCATTTAAAAAACTTTTATAATCTTGTTCTTAGTGTCTGACCACTTTGCTTTTAAAACATGTTAGGTGAGTTGTACAGATATCTAACTTGTACTGTATAATGTAAATACAGTTGAAAACATGAGCCTTTTGTTTTGGGAGAAATAAATTACTTAAAAAAAGAAGCTTGAATCGCTGTTAAACATGTCTCAATCTTATAATAAAAGGAGGAAGATATGCTATCTGGCTTTTATGGACACACACACATCAAAGAACCAAGGTTAGACTTTCTTCAGCCCTTTAAACATTAAACATCTTCAAATACAGCCTAAAAGTTGAAAATTATTACTGCTCAAAAATATGTATTTATTAATATTTTTTCTATCTAATTTGAAATTGCAACAATCAATGTTTCTTTGTTGTTTTTCGACTCAAGTTTTTTGTTTAGTTTCCATTTTCTGCTGAAAATCTTGTTTTTAACACTTATTGATGTCAGGGAAAAAAACCTTTAAAGGACTTTCAACTCAACTTCAACCAGCTTCCATTGAGGTTGTTAAACTGTTGACATTTCACCTCAAAGATAAAAAATTAAAATGTGTAGGATATTGTTTTAATGCTTATTTTTGTTTACAAGAACTCTAGACACTGCGTTTGATGGGGGGTTGAATGAGAGCCTTTTCTGCTGCACGGTTGCCATGTTTTTTTTTGTGTTGCTGCTCAGAAGCAGATTCATCAATCCCATTTAATCTAGATATCATATTGTCATGAGGTGACTCAGCAAGGGTGGGTTGGATAACAAACAACTGAGCTTAGGTTTTTTAAGGTACAAATAATCAACCTCTGTACTTATTTACTGCACTGTGGCTTAAGGGTCCATGCTCGGATAATAAATATAATTTACATGACAACTTAGGCAAAAAAATTACCTAAAAGAATCATGTTTAAGTAGAAAAACAAAAAAAAAAGAGAAATGATTTGGCAATGACTGCATTTTGTGAGTGYGTTCTTGTTTTATTTTCTTTAGCAGGCTGTGGTGACACGATTTACCAAGAATGCAGAAACACGTTGGAATAAATGCACAGAAAGTCTGCGTGTATGGTCGTCAAATGATTTAATCTGAGCAACAACAGAGCAGAAGTCAATCAGAGAAGTCTGTCAAGTTGTGGCTGGCTCGTCAGCGCAGAGCAGCCGGTAATATAACATCCTGTGACATGCTAACAACCAGTCACAGTTCACCAACTGTGAACCATCTAACCAATGACAGGGCTATCAGCCCAGAAACACCTTATAAAAATAAAAGAGGTCATGCATTGCTGGAGTCTTGAAGTCTGAGCCGATAGAGTAAAACAACTGAAACTAGTTATCATGAGATATGATAACTGGACAGTGTCAAGGTAGAACAGATATACATAATTATTCCATAACACAGGCTATTGAAATCTATTGTGTATTCAGGTAATTGTGTTGAGCTTTGTGAAAGAGATGATCTGATTGGGCTGTTAGGTGAAAAAGCACAGATGTCAACCTTTTCACTGTGTGACTCTCACCTTGTCCACTCGTTAGTAAATGAGAACAGTGGTCTTTTGTTTCATGTTGAATATTCCTTTCATAGGAACAAAAGCTCAATTCACATTCAGACTGTGGAGCAGATCTTAGGAGATGCAGTCCAGTGTTGCCTGGTCTGACCTTGTAGCTTGACGTTTTGAAAGTGGCTGTAGCTCACTCTAATAAAGAATCCACAGCATCAGAAACAACCAGAGTGAACACTTGCTTCACATAAAATGTTTATGTCCACCAATACAGCCTTACTATACTACTCCTGTTTTACTTTGCAGCTTGTGTTGTCAGATCATCTGCTTTTGGCTTGTGCTTTAAAAAAATGAAGCTTTGAATTTACCTAACCAAGTTATGTCAACTGGTTCCACTAAACTGAGTTGAGTAATTGTAAAGCAATTTACATAGAATGGAACTTGTTGACATAACTTGGTTAATTAAGTAAATTCAACACTTTATATTGTATAGTTGTTCAACTCTTGTCGTTTTCTTGAAACAGCGTCATTCATGCCTGCATATTTGGTTCTTCTGCCTGTGACGAGCTGAGAACCGACATTCTGATGTTTCCTCAACACTTTTTATACACTGGTGTTTAGAGGCTGTAACCAACAACAAAACACAGTAACTGTGAGAGAAGAAAGTGATGGTTCAGATCTCTTGAAGTGGGGTTAGGTGGAGGAACAGTTAAAGTAGATGATTGACAAGCTGATAGGGCCAAAATTGATTCTTGCAAACAAAAAACATTTCTAGTCTTAACAGGATGACATGCAGACACTGTTGARCATAGCTTTAAATTGCTGTCATAAAAGCAAAACTGCTAAGAAATTTTGAGACACCTGCTTTGGTTTTGTGTCAAGATGTTCGCTTGTTAATTTAGTCAGAATTAGAATAATCGAAACATATTTTAATTATTTGAAAGTTCATTTCAGAAGGTCTAAAATATGCCTTTCAAGTGCCTGGGACATGCATATCCTTCAAATACAAAATGTCAAAGAAAACATCTTTAAATTTAATGAACTTGGCATAATACACGTTATTATCATTTTGATACACAACTGCCATGTTTGCTTTTGAATTTGTCTCGAAGTGAAACAGGAAGTTCCATCAAAGGGGAACTCCCTGGTCTTTACTTATTGAAACAATGTTTGAGGTCTGACTCTTCTTCATCTCTCTGATAGTGACTCAAACTAATCTAAAGAAACACCAGATTCTTCTCTACAGTCTGTGCTGTCAGCCATGTAGCAATGCTCTGTTCACACGCAGACATTCCCCTTTGTCATCACTCCTGTTACTTCACATGCTAACAGCTCAACAACTGTTCATCTCTGAGGTTACCAATGTTATCTTTCCAAAAATACATTCATATTTATTAGAAAATTTTGAAGTCACAGGCACCTTTAAGGGTAAGTGTAAACAAAGCTTTTTCATGGGTTCATGTGGAGCATCTTGTTTAAGCTTTTAAGTCCAGATTTTTGTTATTTTTACCTGCAGTTGACCAAAACAATAGACTTAAGAACCACCTGCGTTCTTGTGATCTGTGGACGAGAAGCTTACAAAATCTGAGCAAAAGCATATTGTCAAGTTCTCTGACCTAACCCCATCTCCTCTTCACTCTCTGTGACTTTTGTTAACAGAACAGAGTGACAGCTTGTCATCGTGGGTGCTCCACAGTACGGCTCACACCCCRCTGACTATTGTAGAGCTCATAAAAAAAACCCAGCATCAAGGTCTTCCACTCTCCTTCCTTCTGTCTTTTCTCTCTCTCTCCTCAAAGCAGAGAATCAATCAGCTGTACACACACACACACACACACACACACCCGCGTCCATACACATGACTCATTTCTTTTCCCTTCGTCTATTCAGCAGCCAGTGATCATTTAGACTTGACATGTATTGTGAAAAACTGAGCTGCTTCGCTTCTTTCTTCTTCTCTTTCTTTCGCTCCTTTTCTCTTTCAACTGTCTGTCATTAATGTCCAGGTCTTACAATATAGCAACGGAGGAGAGGAAGAAAGCAAAGAGTGAGGGATGAATTGATGGATGGGAGGATAAGCACTCAGTGTCCTTTCTTTAAAGATTTGTTATTGTACAGTACTGTCTCACAGTCATTTTTGGTTGGTGTTTCAGTCTGAAAGCCCAGCCACGTGCTCTTTTGTATGGGAAAGCAATAAGGCCCCATTGAATGAAGCTGAATGGACCTGCCATCCTTAGGGGCTGAGGCCTGAGGACTCCTATTCTTTAGCCCCCAATCTAATTGGAGCTGAAATGAAATGGAGGTTTCTTATGAAAATAGGCTTTGTTTGGCCGCAAGGCTGGTAATTCATAAACAATAAGCAGGGCTCCATTGTGTAGATAATAATATATTCATGCTGCTGGAGATGGGGAGAAGGCAAAGCGAAGGCTGAGGATATATAAGGCGGATAGGCAGAGACAGCGATAGAGAGTGGAGGGATGAGAGAAAGGGGAGGAGGAAAACGAGGTCTAATAGCAAATAATGGGTCAAAGAAAATTGGTAATGGTTGGGTTGAGGTGAATGATTTAATAGAGGAAGTGAAAGGACTTTAAGTGGGAGTGAGGAGAGGTGAAAATGACAGGAATAGGCGAGATAGACAAGATAAGAACAAGGCGAGGAGGGTGGGTGATTGGTGAAATGGCTCTGAGTGCTCCTGAGCCTACAGGTGACTGG